AAGGATGCTTTGGGAGGACTCTCACTTGATGGGTTTATATCACTGGTGTGTATGATAGATGATTATAATACTATGGGGTGATGATTGATATTCCTGAATGGCAGGTTAATGGTTGATCCACTATTAAAAGTCATTAAAAATTGAGAGTTTGTAACCATATTGAGCAGTACAAAATGGTGAAGAATGTAGGTTGGTTATACCTGAAATTATGTTGTAGTTCTCATTATAATTGGTGTCAACCTATTATTAGTAGTATTAGTAGTTTATTACCCACTCTATCCTAGAAAAAGAGTCCTCATTTCCTTTCAAGGTTGTCCCGAATTTTGACAACTCACAAACATAGCCATCTCTACTCCCTGCTAGAATCCCGAATATAATCAATTGCTTATTTTGCTCACCAAAATTTAAATCCTAGTAGTAAATAACTTCCTCAGTCCCACTTTGTTTGTTTCATTGCAGTTTACATACCACAAAAACAACAACATTACCCAAGTGGTCAAAGACTCCCGCTCATCACTTGGTGTGGGGGGGTTGGATGTACGCAGCCTGAACCCTAATCTTAGGTACATAATCACTTTTGGATTCTCCCTGGTAGATAAACAGATGTAATATTTTGTTAAATTTAATGTTAATGACCATTTATGCTTTTTATTGATGGGTAAGGCCTCTTTTGCCAATACCCATTATCTTTTGTAAGTTTTATTTTCTAATTCGGATACCCATATTAAATCAGATAACCATATTATCTTTTCGTTGTTGACGATGCTGATAAATGGGTTCATTTTCAGGAACATACAAAGGCAATGCTGCCACCAGACATAGATCAAAATACAGTATGTCAAGTATATTACTCCCTCCGTCCCCCTAAGATGTTCTCATTTTGACTTTTGGTGGTTTTTAAGGAGAGTTGAAAAAAGGTGAAAGTTTACCATAATACCCTTAATGAAAAATGGGTGGAGTGTATTAAATGAGGTGGGTGAGGTGTAATAAATAAAGTAAGTGGGGGTAGTTGTGGTATTTTAATTGTTAAAAAATGAAATGAGAAGATCTATTGTGGACAAAGAAAAAGGGCTATTGGGAAGATCTATGGGGGACGGAGGGAGTACATGTTAATAATAAGTTTCTTACTTCTGAGTTCTGAGTTAGTCAGTCTGATATGATGATTAACAAATTGATTTTGTCCCGAATTTTGACAACTCAAAAACATAGCCATCTCTACTCCCTGCTAGAATCCCGAATCTGCTTCTCAATGGTGCCTCTGGAATTGCGGTAATCGGT